GGGTATTAAAGACGGCACATTCTGCGTGGAGCACTGGGTGTTATGCACAAACAATGAATCATGGAACACTACATCAAAAACTAATGATGTAATGTATGGTGATTAACATAACAATAAAACATTTAAAGTAAAGAAAAAGTTTATTTAATTTTTGTTATCTATTTGAATAGCGGTGCTGTCTTTCTCCTGATGCCACAAGTGAGTCAGTGCTCATGTTCATCTCTTCTGGGAGAACCAAATCATACCTTCAGTTTCAAGGAAAGTAGTATGAGATTATAGTGTTTCATATATAATTCTGCTATATTATTTTGCATTTTGATATTTATAACATTTACACCCTCACTTTGAACCTTTAGTTATAAAGTGAAAACAAATATTTTAATGATTTTACCTAATTCACTTATATTTCCTAGAGCATAATACATTAAACCAAATTAATTTCTTCTTGAATTTTCAATGCATAGTAATCAAACTATTTCCATGTTTCTAATGTTTTTTTTTTAAGTTTTATTTATTTATTTTAGAGAGAGAGAAATTGAGTGTGTGTGAGTGGGGGGGAGGAGTGGAGGGAGAGGGAGAGAGAATCCTCGGACTCCCCACTGAGCAAGGAGTGTGACATAAGGCTGGATCCCAGGACCCCCAGATCATGACCTGAGCCAAAATCAAGAGTCCGCTGCTTAACAGACTGAGCCACCCAGGCACACCTCTTTTTTTTTTTTTTTTTACTGATATAATCTGTATGATCATTTTCCTATATACAATGGAATATTACTCAGCCATCAGAAAGGATGAATACCCAACTTCTACACCAACATGGAGGGGACTGGAGGAGATCATGCTCAGTGAAATAAGTCAAGCAGAGAAAGTCAATTATCATATGGTTTCACTTATTTGTGGAACATAAGGAACAGCAGGGAGGACATTAGGAGAAGGAAGGGAAAAATGAAGGGGGGAGAATCAGAGGGGGAGACGAACCATGAGAGACTATGGACTCTGAGAAACAAACAGGGTTTTAGAGGGGAGGGGGTGGGGGGATGGGTTAGCCCGGTGATGGGTATTAAGGAGGGCACTTACTGCATGGAGCCCTGGGTGTTATATGAAAGCAATGGATCATGAATCACCACATCAAAAACTAATGTTGTATTGGATGGTCACTAACATAATATAATAAAATAAAATGAAAAAAAAAAGAAAAAATCCTATGAAGTATTTGATTCATTTAAAATTTTCAGACTTGGTGTGCCTGGGTGGCTCAGTCCATTAAGTGTCTGCCTTTGGCTCAGGTCATGATCTCAGGGTCCTGGGATCGGGTCCCACATTGGGTTCCCTGCTCGGTGGGGAGTCTGCTTCTCCCTCTCCCTCTGCTGCTCCCCTTGTGCTCTCTCTCTCTCTCTCAAATGAATAAAATAGAATCTCTAAAAGAAAATAAAACAAAATTTTCAAACTTTATTGAGGCCTGTGCAGGTCCCAAACTTTCTGTGGTTTGGGGTTGCTATCTGCCTTATAAAGCAAAGTAGAGGGTTTGTTTTCTGGGAAGACAAAATTGTCTTCTCCTCTGAAAATGCCTCCTACATAGAGGGCTTTGGCATCTTCTGGGAATAAGGAAGCAGGGACTGAGGAGGCCTCATAAGTTTGAGTTTTCAGCTGAGGTAGAGAAAGATGAGAGTGCTTATAACCAGAAAGTCCAGAGTTTAGTGTAGTTACCTCCAGGACTCATTACTGTTAACCCAGCCTGGGCTTCATGACAGTCCTAGAAATGGATTCCTTAACAATAAAATAATAATAATACAGTTAAAAAATAAAGTTAAAATACAGTTAAAAATACAGTTAAATGCAGGTAAAAAGTAATTCAGACCTTTACCCCTGTGAGATTTTATATTGGATATCACCTTTACAAAGTTTAATTTTTCTGAGTCAAAACTTTTAAATCTAGATTTTTAGAAGGCATGTAAATTGTTATTTAAATATCTAGGCAATACTAATTTTGTTTTGTTCTCTTGATCAGTATCATTCTATGTTGATTATTTTTAGCTTGTCTATTCTTCTGGGATAAGTTTTGTAAATTTTAATTGCAACAATGTATATGGATCTATGTATGTTTACATCTCTAGTATATTTTAGTTTATGCATTTTAGCTATTATAATTTTTCTGATATTTATTTTTATAGTAATATGTATCAGGCATTGGATAGAACTTATGTTTTTACTGTTAGATCAAAGAGCAACAAATATAAACAGGGCCAAAGCATTCAGTATGAACATATGGTAGGGACAAAATATATTTCTTTAGGAGAGAGATGTTAAGATATCATTCCAAGCTAAAGAAAGGATATGAATAAAGCCTAATAAAATGCAAGGATCATCAAACCAATGACAAGGGAAAGGGTGGGTAGTTAAATACAACCAACACAGAAGAAATAATGAGGTTATATTGGGAAAATAGGAGACAGAATATTAAATATTTAAGTGTGGCTTGTACAGCTTGTGAATAATAATTGCAAAATGGACCATGTTGAGAAATAGTCTGGTTTAGTTTCTCAGCAACTCTTCCCTCCTTCATAGAAATCTGGGAAGAGGTTTTCAAGCAGTATTTTTAGAGTACAACATTTTCTTGGAAATATATTCCTTCTACAAATATGATCACTAAAGTAAAGTGTTTCTTGTGCATCTTATGTGGAAGTTACGTACTTCTGCCTGAATCTTTATTTATTAGCAACAGTGTTGTGTCCATATGTACTAAATAAATAATTAACATGCAATCCTTAAACATATCTTTGAAGGGAGTGTAGAGTTGGTATATAGAAGAAAAAGTAAATATATTATTCACACACCCAAAATTTAACAAAGGTAAAAAGCAAGGATTATTTTTTTTATTTTACATTGACCAATATAATTAAGAATGTGTGTGTGTGTGTGTGTGTGTGTGTGTATTTTGGTTAAGAGAATTGCTGAGCAGTAATTTAGTCAGATAATGAAAGATACTACCTTCTTTTACATTTTTGAGATGGTCAATGTATATTTACATATCCAGAAAACCTAAAAGGTATGTGTATTTTGATTATGTTATTGCTACGAAAATCACCCCTGATAATGTTTGGGCACCAAAGGAATAGGTTTAACCTTTTATCAATCCACCCTTAGAGAAAAATATTTTTAAAGATGAACATCACTCATTGCTGATTTTTTTCATAATTACCCCCAATTTTTACTCCAGTTTCATCATGCTATGATTATTAACAACTCTTAATAAAGAACTGCACAAACTACTACAAAAATAAGTAGAAGGGGAATAATCTGATATGCATTTGGTGTGTGGCATTTTTATCTTCTTCATAAATTCAAGTCACCCATTCATTCTTTCATTTGAAAATGTCTATTAAGTACCAGAAACTCTGTTAGGCACTGAGGAGATGGCAGTGAATGAAACTGACTAAATCCCTGGCTTCCTGAATGTCACATTTATCCTAGAGTAAGGCAGAATATAAAGAAAATATATAATATATTCATTGATGGTAAGTGCAATGGTGAATAAAATAGAGACAGAAAGGAAAGTAGGAAGCGTGTGTGTGATGGGCAATTTTATTCATCACTAAAGAATCAACTAAGAGAGGTGCCTGGGTGGCTCAGTTATTAAGCGTCTGCCTTTGGCTCAGGTCATGAACCCAGGGTCCTGGGATCAAGCCCTGCCTCAGGCTCCCTGCTCCACGGGAAGCCTGCTTCTCCCTCTCCCACTCCCCCTGCTTGTGTTCCCTCTCTCGCTGTGTCTCTCTCTGTCAAATAAATAAATAAAATCTTTAACAACAACAAAACAAAACAAAACAAAATAATCATCTAAGAAAGAATTTAGCAGCATCCTGATGCAGGTATGGGGGCAAACCACTCACAAATATCAAAGAAGTGTGTAAAGACAGTGGAGAAAACAAAGAAATGACTTTGGTTCAGAAGCATGCCTGATCTGCTGATAAAAAACAAGTAAGCTATCATCAGAATTTTGGAATTTACTCTGACTGGGATAGGAAGGTGTTAAAGGGTCTGCACAAAAGGATCAAGTGATATGACTGTTTCAGTGGGGTCATCTGGTGGCTTTACAGAGCATAGTCTGTTGCCAACTGAGAGCATTAGCATTAGCTGGCTAATGAGACATGATAATGGCCTGTTTCCGGGTGTTTGTGTGGGGGCAATAGAAATGGTCAAATTCTAATATATTATGAACATAGAGGCAGCAGATTATCTTGATTGGTCAGATGTGAGAAAAAGCAAAGATGATTTTGAGGGTTTTTGTGTGTGTGTGTGTTTTTTTCCTCCTGAGCAACTGAAAGGATAGAATTCCCATTAACAAAATGGGAAAGGCTATATAAGAGCAAGTTTGGAGGGAAAGATCAATATTCCCGTTTTGGTCACATTAATCTTGAGTGTCAAAATAAGACAAATAGAGGGGATAAGTAGAGATATCATATAGACAACTGGATACACAAGTTTGAAATTTCAAAGGAAATCCAAACTGAAGATGTAAAGTTTGGGTTGATTATCATCATCATATATTTTGTATCAATGTCATTATATTGGATAACATTTTTAAGTCAGTGGGACTAAACTTCCAAGTGAGGAAAAATAATCTGAAGAAGTCCAAGGGCAGAGCACATTTGAGAGTCGGGAGAAAAAGAATTAACTAGCAAAGGATAATGAGAAGGAAATAATCAGATTCCATTCACAGTCATGGGGTAATTTTAAAGTGTCAGACATTTTAATATGATATATTTAATCATTGAAAATGGCATACTGGAAAGAATATTCTATTCCTGCTACAGATGAAGAAAATAATTTGGGGGATCATCTTACTCAAGATCACATATTTTAAGTAGTGAAGACTATATTTGAATTCTGGTGTTGGAATTTCAAGTCAAGTAAATTTTATTTCACACTATTCAACTAAGTGATGGTTCCTTCTGCATTTAAGTCTTTGGGTCCACTAGATGCAAATATCAACTCTGAACACTGGCTTAACTATTGCATTAGAAATCTGTGTGTCATCCTTGCACAAGGGCCATGCTAATCTTCTATGTATCATCCCAATTTTAGTATAGGTGCTGCCAAAGTGAGCACTAATATTACAAAAAGAATATCAGCCAGAACAATTTTGTAAACATCATCAGAGGTGATATATAAAACCAACAATTTTGGAACGATTTTGAGGTGGGTAAGGAGGCTAGAAGAGTTTGAAACAATTGAAGGGGAATGGCAGGGAATGTGGAAAGCCTGGGGCTCTGTAAATGAAAAGTAGTCTTGAATATGTTGTTCAGTAGAATTCCTGGGCTGTCAAGGATCGGGATGAGGCACTAAGTTTCTGATGCATAGAATACAAACATGATGTCTTTGTTAGCTATGAGATGAATAGGAAAAAAATGTAAAGAGCACAATATCAGTTTTAACAAAAGCTCAGAAAACAATTAAACACTTATTAGCTAGATAATGGAGTCCATACTGGTATGAAGATACAAATCGAATCCTATGATATGGACACATCTCTTGTTTTTATGTTTCCTACTAATCCTCATGTGCCATGGTTCTCTCCATGCAGGAATTTCAGAATCTCCATCTTATCTGTCTTAGAACTTCCTCATCTCTGTATTTCATGTCAATTTTTCTTGGTATTTACAATATAGATGCCTACTATTAACAATAGATGTAGCAATGAACTAAGAAGTAAAAAAAGGAAAAAATCTTTCACTTAACTTTTCAATATTCATTCCTAAGGTCTCTTCTAGTCAGAAAAACTTTGAATGCTAATAATTTATATTATGGATATAATTTTTGAAAAGAATTACTATGTTTTGCAAATAAACATGTGTCTAGGGTTTAGATTTAAATAGAACCTGTATGAAAAAGATGAGTTGGTGGGGTGCCTGGGTGGCCCAGTCAGTTAAGCATCTGCCTTGGCTCAGGGCATGATCTTAGGGTCCTGGGATTGAGCCCACATCAGGCTCCCTGCTCAGTGCAGAGCCTGATTCTCCCTCTCCCTCTGCTGCTCCCCCTGCTTGTGCTCTCTCTCCCTCTGTCAAAGGAGTAAATAAAATCTTAAAAAAAAAAGAGAGAAAGATGATTTGGAAAGTTATAAAATATCTCATCTCCTCTATTTGATATCTATCTATAATATTTCTGAGTTTCATAATATCAGTTTTCAGATGTGCATGTGGCACAGTGATGTCTCATAAAGCTCAGTTTATCAATATTTATGAATACATTCTATGGGTCATAAAACTTCCTAAAAGTTTATAAAGGCTAAAGACAATAAAAATAATTTAGGACAAAAGTGGAATCACAGGGGCAAACTATGCTATGGAAAATTCTAGGGCTGATGAGAAGTAAGTATGATTCCAGAGTTCTTAAAATCCCAGTGAAATACCTGTGGGTCATGATGGGCCCACAACATAACCAATCCTATGACGTTGGAAGGACCATAAGGAAAATGCTTACCTACTCTGATTTTTCTTGATAGTAGTCTCCATCTGACTTTATATTATTTGTATCAGTACAAAAGCCTGTGGAGATCACCTGACATTCAAGAGCAAGAGGTAGACTCTGGAATATGATGGATTGTTGCCCTTGCTTCCCATAAGTACTTTTTGTTTTAAACCAATAGTCCTTAAGCGTAGTTCATGAACACCAGGAGTTCCTGGGACATTTCCTGGTGGTTTGAAGATAATTTTTTTCCATAAAAATATGAAAACATTATTTGCCTTTTTTTTTTATTATGTTGACACGTGCACTGAAAGTGAAAATGCTGTGGTGGTGGGTTTTACTTGCTGTTACTTGACATAATCACATTTCATGACGATTCCCCATGCTGTGGGCACCTGAACATAAGAGCTAGATTTTTCAATGTATTCTAGTTTCTCCTTAACTTTCTTAAAATAAAGAATTGAAGTGAAAGAAAATCATGTTCTATAAAGTATTTGTTGACTTGAATAACAATCATAAAGCTGTGAAAACAGAAATTCCTCCTAAACTTAATTATAGATACCCTGGTAGTTCTTTGCCGTCAGCTCTTCATTTGCATGAATTATCTTTTCAAATTGAAATGTATTAAAAGAAGAAAAAAATGATTGTTAAACAAATCTACATGCATTAAGCAGAGCTTTTTTTTCCCCCTATGCTTTGAAAAATTCCTCATTCCCTATTTGGGTTTGAATAAATAACAGTGTTTATTAATTTACAAAGATTTATATAGCTTTGTGATTAAGAACAAGGAAAAATATGAGAAAAGTCAAAGTTTGCAAAACAAAATCCTTAAAGTAAGCAAAAATTTCACATCAGTTAAAAACATTAAAGCTTGATGCTTTGAAACTCCAAGTGCTAAGCCTTGGGCCTAAAACAAGAAAACGATGAGGTTGATTGAATAAAACACACATTCACCAGTAGCTGGCAGGTTTTGAAAAGGTTAAGATATGAATTTTGGGCTTTATATATGTATAAATATGTATTAATGCTTGTCTATAGGTATTTAAAATTATTTAGAGATACCATTCTTCAGGAAAACAGAAAATATAAAAAATATTCACAGATTGAAAACACAATAAAAGAAACACTAAATGCAATACTGGGGACAAAATATCTACACTTGTGATGGCCTTTAAATATCTAGAAAATGTTAAAAAACGTACATTTCTTGACATTGAATATTTAGGTAGAATTTGAAATTTAACTTTTGCTTTTACATTAAATGCAGAAAAGCATTTCCTTTCTCTTAATCAAATGCAGTTTTACGCCTACCAAGCAATGTTCAGAAAAGGCAGAGCTGTCATCAGAAAGCCAATTAAAGAAGGAGACTGAAATTCTGCTTGTAAAAAGAACTTGATAGGACAAATGCAGGATCTTACAGCTAGGATTTTAGAGTTAGACCTTGACTAAAAAGTGTCATCAGAGCCCTTATCACTGCAATGTCACTTTGAAAGATGTCAACTAGGACTGTCATTCTGGAGGGTTTTTAGCTTATTTATGTATGCCATTTATTAAACTAAAAAAAATTATCAATCAGACTTAGTGTTGGTGATCATTTTGTAATATATACAAATATCAAAACATTATGTCGAACAACTGAAATTAATATAATTTATATGTCAATTATATCTCAATAAAAACAAAGAGAGAGGGCCACCTGGGTGGCTCAGTCAGTTAAGCATCTGTCTTCAGCTCAGGTCATGATCTCAGGGTCCTGAGATCAAGTCCCACATCAAGGCTCTCTGCTCAGCGGGGAGTCTGCTTCTTCCTCTCATTCTCCCTTCCTCTCTCTCTCTCAAATAAATAAACAAAATCTTAAAAAAAAAACAAAGATGTAAAGACAATTTATCAAGACAGCTATAGAAAAGCACTATTTCAATTGCTGTTCTTCCAAAGGCAGATGTTTTTTGGACCAAATTAAGAATTCTGTGAAAGGTATTTTATTATGTGAGAGTCTTAATACTCCTTGGACTGGCCCCTCTTGACTCTATGGCTTCTCACTTGCATTTGATGTTACCACTTCTTAATTCTACCCAATTTACTCTTACTTTCTTTCTTAAACATACCCCTATTTCACTGTTATTTATTTTTGGTATAAGGATGCAGGGACAGTTTTATTATTTCATAATTATTTTAACAACTGGCAGTTTCTCTCAATTAGGGAATTCTCTTTATTTGGGGGGACATAAAAGGACCTTGATAGGTTATTAACTTGGGAGATAGGGCCTCAAGGGCTATGTTGACTGGGGGTCAGTTGAAAAAGATATGTTTGTGGCTTCTCTGTATACAACAGGAGAGAGATGTTTTACCCAAAGAATGGTTTTTTTGGGTAGAAGAGGGAGCCAGCAAGATTGAGGGAAACTGAAACAAGGTGATATTAGGGATAGTGAATTATCACTCTCCTTCCCACTCAAGGCACTGAGTGAAAGCCAACAGACATTTCTAAGAATTGTGATGACTCCAGTTCACATTTCAAAATATTTGCGGATATCAAGTAAACAACATCTCTATGCCACTTCAGGTCTTCTTTAAATCCTGCCATATGTTCCTATGTAGTGTAGGCATTAATGTTTTGTGGAATATGAAGCAGGTGCTGAATTTCACACCTGGGCATATTCTATGTAACAGGCAGAACATACTCCTATCAAGAAGCCAGAGAAAACCATGAGAATATAAGTGCACTGGGATATTGCAGAAATGTTATGAGAATGCTAAATTTTCGTAGTCCATGGAATTCTACTGAGATTTTTTTTAAATGTGAGGATTATACCTAAATATGATTTTAAAAATCCATATTTTCCTTCTCTGCATGTAGCTTAAAAATTGGTACTCAGAAAATAATGCGAAAGGGAAAAAAAGAACCAACTGGTTCAAAATTCTCATTTAGTCTGTGGTTAATTTATCTCATTTATGTGTCCAGATATTGAACTTTAAAAATCCAAATATATGTATTAAAAAAAAAGCCGACAAATTCACATGAATGCTCTCTTTCTATTTTGAAAAATCCTAATTTACTTTTCAGCTCCAAAATAAGTTAGCATCTCTCACGACATTCATTTAAATGATCAGTGGGTGAGTTATTCTTTGACAAATGCAAATTATCCATTTCCTCATTCAACAAAGTATTTACTGACTGCCTACTACATGCCAAACACTGTTATAAGGGTTAAGTTCACAGAAATGAAGAAAACATATTCCTCATCCTGTATGTACTAACTAGTAGAATGACAAGTAAACAAATTTGTTTTTATTCTTAAGCAAATTAAAGCACGTTTCATAGCAATACATGTGATAGAATCTGATTTGTTAAAAATTGTAAAAACATGTAGATATGAATCCTTATATGAAACAGAAAACGCTGAATGCGGTGGGAATAGGGGCAGGAAGGGAAGGTAGGAAGACTATTACTTCTCACTTTTTACACTTACATCTTTATATCTCTCTGTACTGTTTAGATGTATTTTTGATGTATGTGAATGTGCATATACACATTTACCTATTATATGTAACATAATATAAATATTATATAAAATACAATATAGAATATAAACAATAATGTATATTACTATATTTTATATATATGAAGAGAGAGAAGGAGGGACAAC